TTAAAAGTCTGCCCTGCTGTTGGTCCTACTGCCTTCGCTTTGTTCTGCCCCCAAAGAGCCCCAGAGCCCGGACCACCTAGCTCCGACCTCTGACCCATATCCTCCATCTCAGCAGGGGATAATTTACCAAATACTGTATGGTTTCTAGCGGTACAAGTGGCATTGAATGTGTTTTGCCTGCCTTCATTTCTTTTCGGGCCTCCTCCACGTATGTCTTCACAAAGTGACAGACAATGAGCCATGTTGGCTTTGGCATCACTGGAAGGCCAGGTGTAGTGTTTTAGGGGTGAAGCTAATCACGGGCCATAGAGAGACCACGCCGAGAGGGTGTGAAGACAGCAAAGTCCAGTGAATGAGACCCCGCCAGGCACCGGCTCATCACCCTGAGGTCTGCGCTCTCTGGCTCCCTGCTGCGGCTTCTCTCCCCAGTGGCGTTTGAGCTCCCAGCCAGGGAGGTGAGCCTGTTATCTCCACAACTCTCTGATCTGCTCGTCAGGCTCCCCTAGAACCGTTTTCCTAACCGCGTCTCAATTTGATCAGGACCGGGAGATGATTATGCTCTCCCGACAAGTAGACTGTGAACTCAGTGCATTGGGTCAACACGGAGGTTCGATAGCTTTCCCTCTCTTCTTCTTTTCAAAGGACGTTCCTCTTGACAGAGGCCGTTAATGGACGTCTTATCCATCAGAACTCAGCATACCAGGTGGGGCTTTCACCGCTTTTTTTCCTACTAGGAAAAATTGCTAATTTAGCTTAAAAAGAAATGACTCTTTTAAATGCACAAAACAATGTTTGATACTTTTTATTCCTGTTTTTTAAAAGATGGATTTATTTTACGTGCATGAGTGTTTTGCTCGCATGTATGTCTGTGCATGCCTGGTGGCTGAGGGGTCAGAGGAAGGTGTGGGATTCCCTGGAAGGGGAGTTACAGATGGTTGTGAGCCTCCACGCTGGGAACCAAACATGGGCCCTTTGCAAGAACAACGGGTGCTCTTAGTGGCGGAGGCAGGCCTCCAACCTCTTCACCGTTTGATGGTTTTTTTTTTTTTAAGCGATGAAAGAGGGGCGTTTCGAAAACCAAATCCGAGTGACTGTTTCCCATCTCCCGTATGAGGCATTGTAAATGCCCGGCTGCACAGTTTTCAAGATGTCCTTACTACCTCGAGCAAATTAACAAAGGCAAGCAGAAGTAATGCTTCTGTGACGATTTCATACATCGGGACCATTGGAGACACTGTATGGTTTGGGGTTCTCTCAGCTTTCCCCCTGTTTGAAACAAACAGCCGGAGACAGTGGTGAGGCTCATCAGTAAGATTCACCAGTAAGTGGGGGAGGTCCTGGGTTCTACTCACGACATTGCCAAAACCCAACACCTGTTTTAAACACCGTCCCCCGCCTCATTCTCTCCACGGGTGTCTACTAAGTGATGTGTAAGTTCAACTACTTAACTGCTTACCACCCTCCCCCCCCCCCCGGCCCCCGCCTTGACAATATATTTATAAGCCTTGGGGTGAATACTCTTGATAGGTAGATCTACCTTGGGGATGATGCTCTGATGGGCTAACGGGGGACCATCCGAGGAATCCACCCAGGAAACGGGGCCGCTGCTTCCCCATTGCTGTGTGATTCTAAAGCAGCATTGTCAGAAAATCCAGGCAACCCTGAAACTTCTCCCCCTGGGTTATCAAGAGTATGAGACAATTGATGACATTACATCGGCCGTTCATCTGAGATCCGTGGAACACACGAAAATCAATAGTTTTCCATTATCAGGTCCAGCTGGGTCACTGGTCTGTCAATGAGCTGTTACAATTGCTGTACAGGGGTGAGCCTGACCAGTCAATTGCTGCTGACAAGAGGAAAACACGCCGACAGGCACAGGGACAAGTCAGAACACAGATTTGCACTTCAGTCTGCTATCCGAGGAGGTTCAGAGCAAGGCGCATTTTCAAGACACAGGGCACACTCCTTGGGAGGTCTGGGGCCAGCCCAAAGCCTCTGGCTTGACAGCCCAAGCACCTAAGAGCCTGGCCTGGCTCTAGACAAGCAGCTTCCACAATGGCTTATCTTTGTTAGAAGGCAAGTGGGCCCGCCCGGACTGTCCCCAAACAGACCAGGGGAAGGAACCTTCCTCTGCTGATTCTGAAGAAACTGTGGGTGACTTCAGAATATAAAAACTGAGAGGATGCTTAGCGGGTAAATGGAGTGCTTGCCATGCAAGCATAAACCCTGGTTCCCAGTCACCCGCGTGAAAAGCCAGGTGTGAGGGTGCCCGCCTGAAATCCTAGCACTGGAGTGGCCAATACAGGGCGATCACAGGAACTCACCAGGCAGCTTCTCTTTCTGTCTGCCTGCCTTGATAAAGACTGATTTAAGTTTGTGTGTGTGTGTGAGTGTTTTGCCTGCATGTATGTGACTATACCGTTGTTTGTGTAGTAGCCAAGGAACCCAGAAAATGGTGGTTAGTCCGCTAGAGTTTCCTATGGTTGTGAGCTGTCCTTTGGGTGCTGGCAACTGAACTTGGGTTCACCGAAAGAGCAGTCTGCACTCTTAACTACTGAGCCATCTCTTTAGTCCCAAGCTGTTCTTGATGAACCCATAAATGCCAGGTACAATATGAAACCTTGTTTCAAAAAATAGGGAGAGTAATAGAAGAAGACACCTGACATGTGGCGCACACACACACACACACACACGTATGCACACACATGCATATACCACATGAACAGACAATACTTTTTTTTTTTTTTGGTTTTTAGAGACAGGGTTTCTCTGTGACTTTGGAGGCTGTCCTGGAACTAGCTCTTGTAGACCAAGCTGGTCTCAAACTCACAGAGATCCGCCTGCCTCTGCCCCCTAAGTGCTGGGATTAACGGCATGCGCCACCACTGCCCGGCCTCAGACAATACTTTCAAAAGGGAAAAGGGAGAAAATGAACCAGTTTAGCCAACCTGACTAAGCATGTTGCAAAGGGTATTGACTGAGGATAGAGGTCCCCCTAGCATTCTGCATAGGGCTCTGTCTTACTGGATAATATAGCACCATGCAAACCTTGGTCTCAATATGAGATATTTAACCAAGCTAAACATCCCTGCCTAGTATCTTAATCTATAACCCTTCGTCTGAAGCAGTGGGTATTAGTATTCAGTACTGGCCTGTCTTCGGGGTCCTGACGGGACACGCCCTCAGCTGCAGCCACTGAGAGCACCACCTGAGCACATTCACTATGTCCCCTCTTAAAAGAGCCCTGCCCGCCTCCCATTTCTCTTTCTCTCACTCTGTTTCTCTGCCTGTCTTTTTGTCTCTCTTTCTCCCCAGCCCTCTCTCTCTCCTCTTCTGCCACTCCTGTCCCCAGAGGCCAGCCTCCCTTCTCCCTTGCTCTCCCCCCAAATAACTAACTAACTAAACAAATAACTAAGTAAATAAATGAAACCTCTCCACCCAAGCTCCATTGCATCATTGTTTCTCTTTTTCATGCCACTTTTTAAAACTACAACAGTGGCTGGCGTGGCGACTAGGCCAGTCTTGCTTTGCCCAAGGTTAGGAAGCAGGGCACAGAGTGACGGGACCCGGACAAGTTTCTTAACTGCCTTACGTGATCAAATGGAGGCAGGCCTGCCTCGCCTACCATGTTGCAAGGTTGCCATGAGATGCAAATTGAGATCGAGTTAGGAGAACTCTGACTAGGTAAGGGTGTGTGTCAGCTACAACTCAGTCTCTGTGATAAAACACCATGATCAAAAGCAGCTTGCAGAAAGAAGGGTTTTAATGGGGCTTGCGGTTCTAGAGGGGCGGGAGTCCGGATGTCAAGGGAGAGCGAATGGTGGCGAGGAGCAGGCATGGTGGCTGGCGGGAGCAGGGAGCCGAGAGAGCTCCTGTCTCAGCCGGCAGCATGATGCTGAGAGAGTGAAGGGGGGTGGCATGAGGCGTGTAGCCTCAAAGCCCGCTTCCTCCATCAAGGCTGCACCATCTAAACTTTCCCAAATGCTGCCACCAACTCTGGACCAAGTGTCCAAATGTCTGAGGCTATGAGGACATCTCTCAGTCCATCCATCACAGGGTGTATGTGTGTGTGTGTCTGTCTGTCTGTCTGTGTCTGTCTGTGTGTGTGTGTGTGTGTGTGCCTGTGTGTGTGTGTCTGTGTCTGTGTCTATCTGTGTCTGTGTCTGTCTGTCTGTCTGTCTGCCTTCCTGTCTTGTCTCTCTGTCTTACTCTCTAGAAGCTATCTGGTGATGAGATGTTTGGAAGCAACTGAAGAAAAAAAATCTTGTTATAAATTAACTACTGAGGGACTTGATTTGTCCTTTATTCGGTATATATATATATATATATATATATATATATATATATGCGAGCAAAAAAAAAAAAGCCAACACCATGAATGAAACCTAGAATTCAAAAGACAGCCCAGAAGCCTCAGTGGGCTTTGTACTTTTAGTTCACACAGGAGAGCATACGAACGCAGCAGAGGGGACGAGCTGTTCCGGATTCAGCCCACCAGAGGTCTTCCAAAGCACCGTAGACTCTTTCGGTGTGAAGTCCTCCGTGCACTGGTTCGCTCTCAGACATCAAACTTTAGGAGCTCCGAAGATAAATATTTTGAATTTGTTTCAATATTATGATTTTTAATTTTCCACTCTTATTAATGTCTCCCAACCATTAAAGTATAGCCCCTCGATGCCTGCAGTCTTGGGTTGGACCATTTGGAAGTCAACAACAATGTGCTCTCTCATCAAAGCTAGTTTGCAACTGTGTTACTGAAGACGGACTAGCTAGTCTCCCCCCATATATTCTACCCCCAAAATCATTTTCATTAAATTAGACTTCTCTTTTCCTTCCTTCCTTCCTTCCTTTCTTTTTTAAAAAGGAGTTTTAACAAGAGCAAATTTGCCAGTAATTAGATGAGCCAGTCTTATGTCTTCCAGCACTTGGAAGCATGGAATTCATCAGAACCCTCATAGCATTAATTAAAAAGAATTTATGTTTTTTTAATAAAATGCTTCATGTTTTAGCTCCTTTATTCTTGCACCAAATGTGATTATGTGGGGGCTGAAGGGAATTCAGGTTAATATGTTGACACACTTAACAATGCAGGGTCACGCCGTACAATACGCTTGGCTGGTTTGGTTCAGTCCGCCCCCTGACAGGGCCTAATCATCTTGTGCCCTAAAGGCAGAGGGAAAGAGAGGATTTTAATTACTGCTCTGTATGCAAGTTTGCCAGCACTAAATTGAGACATAATTAGGCCTCTGAATTTTAATAATTGTCCTAGCTAATTGGGCAGACAAGTACGTTATGCGGCATGCCGTGATTAGATAATTAGTATTTCCAAATGACAAAATTGGGCTCTTGATTACAAATTCCGCATGAAGGGGGAAGGTAGCAGGCAGATCTTTACAAGTCTATTAGGGGAGAGTTTAGCGATGTTGGTAATTTAAAGTTCATTAGGAAGCCACGTCTCAGTCTCCGAGCTGGGTGTCAGGGACGAGGGCCTCTGGCCCACTCTGCCTTCCACTTAAGGCTTCTCCCGAGAATGCTGTTCTGTGAGTTCTGTAGGCCCTCCTCTCTCCTCTCCTCTCCTCCCCTCTCCTCTTCCTCTTCTCCCCACTCCTCCCCTCTTCTCCCTCTCCTCCCCTCTCCTCCCCTCTCCTTCCCCCTCCTCTCCCTCTTCCCTCTCTCCTCTCCTCCCCTCTCTTTCCTTCTCTCCCTCCTCCCCCCTCCTCCCCTCTCCTTCCCACTCCTCCCCCTCCCCACCATTATTTCCCCCACCATTACTCCCCCTCCCCTGTCATTACACCCTCTCCCCACTACTGACCTTGGCTAAAGCAGTGTGGGTGAACATCAGGTGATAACCCTGAAAAAGAGATCCTTAGGATTTGGGGAGGAAGAAGAGATGATATTCCCAGATCTGGGGATTTCCACTGTGGCGTTTTCTTGTTTAGTTGTTTATTCCTTCACCAGCGCGACCTGGAATTCACTATACTGTCCAGACTGGGTACCACCTCACGACACTCCTCCTGCCCCAGCCTCCCAAAGTGCTGGGGTTAAGTATGAGCTACCCTGTCCAGATTTCTTCCTCTAAACTTCATCCAGAATCCACTTTTCTCATTTTTATCATCAGTCCACTAATTTTTGGTAAAAAATTACTAAATCAAAAAATTTATACATATCTATAATCTCAGCACTGGAAAGGGTGAGTCAGGAGAGGGTGAGTCAGGAGAGGAAAGGGTGAGTCGTGTGAGTTGGCGGCCACTAACTCAGGCGAAAAGAACAACCAATAGCCATCATCACTTTAAAGTTCTGGTCTCCTGTTGGGGTGAAGAGCATGGGCATTCAAGACTGTCAGGGTTTGTATACTCCAAAAGCATTATCTCAAGGCTTGGTCCTGCCGTCAAGGTGACAGGTGACAGGCTCCCGAGGGTGGTGGGGGCAGGGTGTTAGGATGGGGGACCTGTCAGCAAGTCCACCTTTGAGAAGTCCCCTGTCATCTCTTCCTGACCATGGTGAGTTGGGCTGCTTACTCTCCTCCTCTGAGCTGTCCCAGGCTGAACCCCCCAAGACGGTGACCCACAGGAGGTCTTTCCTACCTCCTTTTCTCAAGTAGAGCTAACTGACAGTCTTCCCTGGGTTTGACGTCATCACTCATAACGGGCCTCTGCTTTGTCCCTGTCAAAACAAGGAGTCTTCTCTGATAAGACTGGCGATAGGATCAAACGAAATCATTTACAGCCCAGTGTCTGGCAGGGACTAAGTGCTCAATAAACATTAATAACATGCATATGAAATTGGTAACAATGAACGGCACAGAGTGAGCCGGGCGGTGGTGGCGCACGCCTTTAATCCCAGCACTCGGGAGGCAGAGGCAGGCGGATCTCTGTGAGTTCGAGGCCAGCCTGGTCTACAGAGCGAGTTCCAGGACAGCCTCCAAAACAATACAGAGGCAATGGGTCTAGCTTTTTGCTGTGCCAACCTTCAAACGAATCAAGAGTCCCTAGTCACACCATTTCCTGAGAGAGGGATATATAAGCACCTTTTACGCTGAGGGTGCCCTTATAGTGCCAGCTACCCCTGCAATGCAGATGCCCAGCCGGGTTTCATTTCTACCTACTCTTCATCAGCTGGCTAGCCCTGCCGTGAGAGGTCACAGATACCTAAAAACGCAGCCCTGCCTTCTGCCTCTTCCTGTTGACTGCTTACTCTGCACAAATACCACATTGTTAACACAGAGTCAGACTTCTAGGTGCTTAATTCTCTTCACAGCCATTCATTGGTACATTGAAAAAATGAGACCCAGAGATTTATAAGAAATGTAAGCAGATCCCAGTATTGTTTCTCATGCAAAAAGATTAGTTGTATGCAAACTAGAACCCTTCCAAAAGTGATTATAGTTGGTTCCTGGATGACTGCTGAGAAGTTTGTTGAGGGAGGTTCAGAGTTTGTGGGTGCACATTTCTGATGACGGTTCGGGAAATAGCGAACATGGTTTTGGCTCAGTGTAAACAGCCTGCTAGACTGAACCAGTCTTTCTTACGATTTTCGTAAAACTGTTTGCCGTGGTCGTTTGTGAGTGGCAATGAAGGAGTTCTGGTAGATTCCAATGTTTTCCATAGTGCCCTGACAGCACCCCCACAGGACCTTGAGGCCTGAGGAAGAAGGGACCCGTGTGGTTGGAGAGCAAAGGTTCTGGGAGACACTTGGAAGGGTCTAGGTGATGGGAGGGGACGCGAAGGATAATCCTTATGCTTGGTGTGTGTGTACACAGCAGGGAAACTTCTCTCCTCTGGGGACGACCATTCTCCCAGTTCACGGCCTCCCACTGACCCCTGGGTGGTGTGTGCCTGGGAGAAGTTGGTGCAGAGCCTTCGATGCTCTTTCCAGCTGCCAAGAGAGACATCACGAGGCGAGGGAGGGATAACTGTCATAAGGATTTTTCTCCCTGCCACACAAAGCCAGCCGAAGCTTCTCTCCCCCTGTCTCCCTCTCTCTCTTTCTCTCTTTTTTTTTTTTTGAAGAAGTGCGTTTATGACTGATCGCTCAACACCTTGTTGGTTCTGATTGCAGAAAACACACCTTATAAATATATGATAACCATCCTGTAATAGAGAGTGTGACAATTTACTTCACAGTGCGTTTCGGGCTGCTAATTGATCGTTTCAGTCCAGGGACGATTTGGAATAAATTATAGCCATCAAAAGGATATCACAGCTCATTTTGGTGGAAGGGCTTCCACGTCGCTTCGCGTTCATCTCCGGAAGAGGGTCGGATCACACCCGGAGGCGGGCTGAGAAGCAGGGAGGGAGAGGGGACCCGAGTGGAGGAGGCTGGTGGGCGGAGCCTGGATGGCGAGGGGGTGTGGTCTCGGGGCGTGGTCGACTGGAGGGGCGGGGCCGCGCCCGCTGCAGCTCCGCGGCCGGACAGTAGAGGCCTCCCTTCCGAGGAGGCGGCTCAGGCTGAGCTCGGCTGCCCGGCGAGGTCCCCGCACAGCCGGCCGGCGGGGCGCGGGGTCCCCGGTCGCTGTCTTCCGCGGCAGGCGGCGGCGGCGGCGGCGGCGGCGGTGGGCGTCGGAGGTGAGCGTGGCCCCCGGGGCCCTGCTTGGGGCGGGTGATCGCGCGCGGGGCTCGCCTGCCCTCAGCCCCACGTGCGTTCGGGGGGAGCAGGGCGTCGGGGACGCCGGCTCGCGGGCGGGAGAAGCGCGTGGGGCGAGCGCTGCCTCGGGCACGCGGGGCCCTCAGGCGCCTCCGGAGCCACCCGGGTCGGCCCGGCCGGATCTAGGGCTCCTGCGCCTCGGACGCTTGACCCTGGTCACCCCCGGGCGTGAGGCTCTAGCCCCCGCCCGCCGCAGGGTCGCCCCCTGAGCCACCCCAGCTCACGTGTGTGCCAATAGGTGGTGACGGTGGAGCAGGCAGACCCAAGGGCCGACCTGCCTGCTGGATGGGGTTGCAACCGGGGGAAATCACGATGTCCTCCTCCTGTCGCGACCTCTCGACGGTCCCCAGCCCCCACCCAGGAGAGGCTCTGCAAGAAGGCACGAGCCCCTTAGGCTCCTGTAGGTGTCCCCCAGTCCTACCCCTGTGCCCCAAACCGGCCCAACCACCAGGAGTGCTCGGGTTTGTTCTGTTGTTTCAGATACTGTCAAGCTAATACCATGTCACTCCAGGACAGAGATGTGTCTGTGGTGACTTTGACAGCCATCATCATACCAAGGTACTTTGAGATGTGATTTTATCTGTGCGTCCGGTAATACGTAAACCCATTCTTATGGTAAGGAAACACCTGAGGCTATCAGCAGGAGGCATTGCCATTCACACACTAAAACTATTTTTGTGCTTGGTCGACGTCTTCCAGAATGTTGAACGAAGCAGGAACGTTTACCATTTCGTGGGTGTTTATATCAGTGTCCTCAGACAGCCCCATAGGAAGGAGGCTTTCTTGTCCTTAGGAAGTAAGGTACAGGCAGGTGTTATGTGGCCTCTTAAATAATCCACAGGAAGTTAATGAGAGTTCTAGGAGACCAAATGTTTTCTAAAACTGGAGTGATTGGAAAAGTCAAACTCAAATTTAAATGCTTTAGACGTGACCTGTGGTTGTCAGGGTTGTGTTTCCACGGACCAATTCCTGGGGAATGCCAATGGTGGGTGTCAGTTTCACAGTGACCTCCATGTACATGACCACGATACATTTTCTCCCCATCTGTGCTATTAAGTGTCATTATTTATCATCACAGGTACTCTACTCAACTTTGCCAATGAGCAGGATCGCTATAGACATTTAATAAATTGTTAAAATGTAACATTATTTCCTGTTACAAAAAAAACAAGGATTATTGTTATGAAAGAGCTAGAAACCTTGATCTTTTCTTTATACCAATGGAAAATGTATGCTTACTAAGGGAATAAGACGTATTAGGAATCAGAAAATATTCCCTAATTTGTGTCCTCTTCACAGTAACCATGAGTTTTGCTTCCTCAAGAACTTCGTAAACAAAGTTAACCGACTTACATGACTTAAGGGCTTATGACATTCCTTAAGCTATTTTAGAGTGCAGTTTTCTTAAATTGTTCCTTATATGGTATGCTGGACTGGCTTAGCTTATATATAAGTGAAAACCCTAAATTTTTAGTAAAATTTGGGGGTTTTGTTTGTTTTGTATTGGTGTTTTGTCTGAATGCATGTCTGTGTGAGGGTGTCAGATCTTGGAGTCACAGACAGTTATGAGTTGCCATGGGGTGCTGGGAATTGAACCTGGGTCCTCTGGAAGAGCAATCAATCAGTGCTCTTCTGAGCCACCTCTCCAGCCCCTGTCTTTGGTTTTTTTTTTTTTTTTTTTTTTTTACGAGACAGGGTTTCTCTGTATTGTTTTGGAGGCTGTCGGTCCAGCCTGGCCTCGAACTCACAGAGATCCGCCTGCCTCTGCCTCCCGAGTGCTGGGATTAAAGGCGTGCGCCACCACCGCCTGGCGTTTTTTTTTTTTTTTTTTAACTCCAACTCCAAATAAGAATTGCATACAATTAAGCCAGTCAAACAAAACACACCCCAAGTAGTCATGTACACACCTGGTTAAAGTTAATTGGTTTAGCAGAAATAGGAAATATGCTCAGAATATTTGCTCCCATGATTTATAGTTATAATTTTCTTGGATAATACTTGAGATCATTCTAAACAGTAACTTCATCCTTGAGTATCAACACATTTTGGGTGAAATCTGAATGACGCACTTAGTGTAAAATCTTGTTAAGTTCAATAATGAAAGAAGTTAGTAGTAACTTTATTCCTAATACTGTGCTATAGTGCTGAAAATCTGTGGCTAAGATATGACTGTTAACTGTCTGTGTTTTAACAACTATACCAGCACCTACACACATAGTTTGATGTGCTGTTATTCAACTAGCCACCTTGGAAGCCTGTCGTGTTAAAACGATTTGAATGTCTCTCAGATATCTTTTGCAGCTCTTCATTGGGCATTGTTTTTGGCACCCGTAAACACATCTTGTTTTAAAAGACTTTGAAAAGTTATATCTTCCTTTAGTGCCTGAAAGTATATGACCAAACCAGAGTAGCATCATTTGAGTCCAAAACAAACTGAAAGACAATTGGATTGCTTTCTTGGGTGGTTTTTAAATTAGCTCTACAGTTAGTTTACCAATATAGTGTGAAGAATGGCTTCATCATTGGAATAAGAGTAGTTACCAAGGGACAGTTTGAAAAGAAGTACTCATTTGGAATTATAAATTGTCTTTAACTGTCAATGAATTATTCATTTAAGAGGTGTGTGTGTGTGTGTGTGTGTGTGTGTGTGTGTGTGTGTGTGTGTGTGTGTGTAGCAGTGCATTGGTATATATTGTGGAAACAGATCCCCTCAGAAAGTCATAGGATGAAGATTTTGGTTGGGGACAGATATAAAGTGCTTTAACCCTAGCACTTTGGAGGTAGTGGGATCTGTGTGAGTTTGAGGCTAGCCTGGTCTACATAGTGAGTTCCTGAATACACAGTGAGAGACTATCTTTAAAAAAAAAGAAAATAAATGAAAAATACTTTGGTTGGTTGATTTTGGATTCTTATGAGAGTTCATAGTTCTGGCATGGTTTTTTAATACTATTCATAATATGTGGTTGAGCTTTTTTCTTTTAAAAAAATGATCTCATGTCTAAAATAGGGTTACACTAAATTGGTATTCTATATTTCTTGAACTATAAAAGGACAAGAGGAGAAAATTCCTTAGCCATCCTTAGGCTACAAATGGGTCCAAACTGTGAGCTAAACCATTTGTTAATTTTTAAGTTTGTTATGAATATAAAACACAAAGTACTTAATGTAGTAATAACTGTACATTGTTGTGAATAGCAACACCATACCTACTGCAAAAACCATGGAAGCATGAAACTCCTAACCTACTGAATTTAAGCCCTTAGGATACTCAAGACCAGAGGGTGGTAGAAGGCATAGAGGGTAACAAAGAGAAAGAGAACCGGTGGTGAGGGCGTTGAAGTCGTCTAGTGCAGTTGAAGGAAGGGCTTAGAGCCACTTTCCCAAACCCCAGAAAAAAAATTAGAAGTTGCGTAAATCATGTTCAACTCCAACTGAGACTGGGAAATCAAGAAAAGCAATATATATATATATATATATATATATATATATATACATATATATATATAATTAGAAGAAAAATATAATTAGCTCAGCAAGAATTGTTACAAGACTTGAAGTCCAATACTTTTAGTATTATTGAGAGGGCTATGAGCTGATAAGTGATTAGTACCCATACCAGTGTCTTAGTTACTGTCCTTTTGCTGTGATGAGATGTCGTGACCAAGGCAGCTTAATAAAGGAGGCATTAGACACAGGGCTTCTTTTACAGTTTCAGATTAGTCCACCAGCATCCTGGTGAGGAGCACGGCAGGGCAGGCAAGCAAGTGGGCATGGCGCTGGAGCAGTGGCTGAGAGCTTACACCTGATCAGCAAGTTTCAAGCAGAGAGAGAGAGAGAGAGAGAGAGAGAGAGAGAGAGAGAGAGAGAGAGAGAGGGCATTGTATGGAGTTTTGAAACCTCAAAGCCCACCCCCAGTGTCACACCTCCTCCAACAAGGCCACACCTCCTAATCCTTCCCAAACAGTTCCACTAACTGAGGACCAAGCATTCAGACACATGAGTCTATGGGGGCCGTTCTCACTCAAACCGTCACACACAGTGATCGGGGAAGGTGGCAGGCACTGGGCAAAGATGAAGGAACTTTTCTGCTTACGCACAGCGTTGCAAATGCTGGCACTCTTACACCTGCCAACAGAGAAAGAAGGGCAAGAAGTAAGTAAGTGCCCAGCATCACATGGGGCTGAAGATCCATCAGACTTGAATTAGACCAAAGTAATGTCCATATTTCAGCTACGTGTGGGATTCGGAACTTTTATCCGTGTCTGCTGTAGTGAACTTTGGCTTGGGGATGGAGCCTCAGAGTCCGTGTAGCAGGGCTGTGTGTCTGATAGGTCAGTGCGTGAGGTAAACAGAGGCAGTTCTAGGTTTCCTTCCTGTGACGCCCTAGGAAAAACGAACAGCCCTTATTAGCCTTAAAGAGGAAGGACTGGCCCCTCCCACCCCATCTGGGAGACGTGAGATCTTAGCCTTCCTTTTCAGACGCCCTGAGAGTTGTGTCTCCCTTTTTTCTACATTTAAGAGTCAGCTAGAGGGCTGGAGAGATGGCTCAAAGGTTAAGAGCACTGGCTGCTCTTCCAGGGGTCCTGAGTTCAATTCCCAGCAACCACGTTGTGGCTTACAACCGTCTGTAATGAGATCTCGTGTCCTCTGCTGGCCTGCAGACATACATGCATATGTATATGTAGGCAGAACACTGTATACATAATAAATATTTTTAAAAAAGAGTCAGCTAGATGCTTTTTAACCATTAAATTTGTGCTTTCTATAGCTTCCTAGGTAAGGCGAGTGGCGAGGCAATAAATAAACTTGATAGGCACAGCTTGAAAGCCATCTCTTTCCCATAGAGTAGTTACCGGCTTCAAGTGTACAAAATTCGCAACTAGATCCCTAAAAACAGAATAAGTGAGTCCTAAGAATTGCAAAATACCAGGTGGGAGAAAGTCCGGGTTCAGCGGTGGAAACTGGGCTTATCATGTCCCAGTTATAATGCTAGAGGCGTATTTTGATCTTCCTGAGAGACAAAACGTATATAGCATTAATGCTCGTTGCCTATTCTTCCTGCGAGCAGACGTGAACAGAACCCTTTCATTAAGTGCTACGGACATGCAGAGTGCCGTGCGCTGAAACCCAGGCTATGCAAGTCAAGGTGAGGCTTGCTGACTCAAGTTACCCGGGTGTCTAGATCAAAGTACAAACGCAGATAAAGCATCCTTAGGAACCTGGGGAGAATAGACTACTTTCTAATCAAGGACTCTAGAGACAAGTGACTAATACGAGACAGGCATTACACTTCCTCTCTCAGATTCACAAGTACACTGTCATATTGAGGGGGTGTTTTCCATTGTTGTTCTTGCACACTTTTCTAAAGACCCGCTACATGTGAGGAAACCAAATGGCTCCCCTAACACCTTAAGTCTAAGTCTGCAGCAGAATGCTGAAGGGAGAGCTGCCCCAGACGTCCAGACCTTGTTCTTTTATTGTCGAAGGTTATTTTCCTCAACAACCCTTTCAAGCCCCATTGATGTAAAGAGGAAGCTGGCCTGAGTGCCGCACGGTGC